TTTAGGCCCGATTGCTTTATTAATACAATAAAAAATACCAAGAAATTTTTGATATATCTAGTAATAAAATCGATTGCATAATACAGATATTCGATCAGACATGTAAGTGCTATTACTTCGTAATATATACACATATCATACCAAAGAAGAAAATTGAAGAAGCCTATAAAATCAAGAACAACAGAAGATTGGGTGATGATTCTTTGGATCGAGTCTTTGACTCTTCCGGTTCATACTAATTAATTCGTGAATGAATTGATCACCAGACCCGAAATTAGTTTCATACACTTATCTGATTTTTATATATTACACTGTATGTTACAGAAAATCAGAAAGTCGAAGACTTGATCCTTTAGATCATTGTTTAATGTATGTATATTAATAAATTTTTAATGTAATTCTAGCCACTTACCTCTCCTTTCGATTTCTATCCTATACGAAATTTCAGACGTAATGTCTGCTCTAGTTATTTAAAAAGAAAGTGAGTATATATCGCTCGGTCTGAGATGAGACAAAAATCATACTTTTTTAGAATGTTATACCGTGATTACAGGATTATCCAACGATTAATTTGGTTGTGTCGGGTAATAAACTAATCCACTGTTGAGTCACGGTTGAGTTGTAGTATTTTTTTCTATATAATTCTATGAAAAACGGGTGTATCGCTATAGAGTCGTGGTTGAATCGTGTTAGAAACTTAGTTATGTGAACTGACGATCAATTGAGCTTATTAATCACTGAAAGAAGAAATAGAAATGCCGAGTATCACAATATTCCTGGAAGTAGTAGAGTGAACCTTCGGGTCTAAATTTTATGCGGTGTCACTCTCCTGCAGAATCATTTCTCACAGTCAATTTTTTTATTAATAACGAATATTATGAATTTATATTTAAACCATTTTCTTATTATACAACATATGATCTCGCGATAAGAATGGGACTTAAAAAGGCTATAAGGGTAATGAGTATAACGTTTTTTATTAGTAGTTTTATCCAAATTCATATGTTATAGGAACTTCGAATCTCCACCATCTCCCGAGATCGTCAAATCTAAACCTTCCTTAAGTGATCGTTGAATCTAAGGAGTTTAATTTTACCAGAAAAATAGCAAAATGCATTTAGTGTTTGGAACCTATGACCGAGTGGAGTTGCTTTATGTAGCAGGATCTAGATTGTGTTAGGGTAACGTAATTACTAATTGTGTAATTTCTTTTTTAACAGGTTTTTTAGATCTAGCGAATGAATAGTATAAAAATAAGCGGTTCCAGCTTTTAAGGTGAGTAAACAATAACGTTATTTTTGCACGTATATTTTTTTGAAAAAAATGTTTGCAATGGAAGGAGAACTTTCAGTTAAACTCGGTAAATAAATTCTCACATTGACTTTATTAGTAAAAACACGATTAAGTAATAATACTTCATAGTGGGATTGGATGATATTTACCTTGCTGTTCATGATGGAGATAATAAACGTTTTGACAACAGTACACTAAGAAGTGGAGAATCTACTAAAACATTGTAAGTTGGATAATTCTCTAGTTATTTTTTTGTATATATTATTTTTTTATTTTTTGTTGCTTTGTATAATCATAGGTCAATTCAAAAAAAATTGGACAAGACCAAAGAAAAGAAACAGGTCAACATTTAATAGTCGGCACGAATAATCTACCAATTAATCTTGATAATATTCTTGCAAACCCAGGACGTTCATACCAGCATACAGTAGGGGAGTACGATTAGAATTGGTATTCAATGAATCTGAAGGGTCTGGCTTTCAAGAAAATGCTGGTGCTAGAAATATTTAAAAAATATTATTTAAAAATTTTTCTTATTTGTATATTGTTCTGGCAATATTATTTTTTATAATAATA